ATTAGCCATCAGTATGTTCTTATTCTTCCTGGTAAAATGCATAGCATATTTATATTGTGCATTAGTGACCTTATGCAGCCTCACAGGCTTCTGTATGACAGTCTGCAATGTATTCTACCCAGTTACTAGTTACTGGCATAGGGATAAATAGTACAAAATATGTATCAAACCGTAAGGGTTAAAATAAAGATTTATTTTCAATCGTTCTTTCTCTCTTGCAGTTTGAAAACTGGGAAATGACTGAAATGTGTAACTTATAAATAATGTAGTAGATGATATATTTCTTTCTGATAATTTACTGAATGGAAGCAACGTTTGAAAACGTAGTTAACTGAGCAAATACTGAAAAGGGTATTTTGCTACCTGCTGTTATTGCAGCAGCATCCATGAGCTGCTGCTGTTTGGTCTGCTTGCATGTCTTTGTTCTGAACGTTTATGGCAGAGATAAGCCTGAAAACAGTCGGTCCATCTTGGCTAGCACATCTCACATGCTAATATTAGCAACAGATAGCAAAGGTTCTGAGAAGTAATAAGTCACTATTTTACGTCAGCTGCTTATTTAAATGTATTAATAGGCAGTCATCTCACCGGTACTTTGAAAACGTAACATTGTTTCACTTATTATTCGCCATTTTTAGCAGCTTGAACGCTAGCATGTGAGCAAGCTATGAAGCTAACATCATGCTGCGTTCATGTTGTACTACAAGCTAGTAAATGCAACTTATCTGCTGAAAAACGCAGAAAAGAAATTATCATTGTGTTCAGTGTAATTATATATATGTGTAACTGCGTTCAAACAGTTTCTTTTCTTGTTTCTATAAGCATTAGATTTAAAAAAAGCGGTCAACAGTCTCGCGAGTTGTGGCAGGTTATAAGTAAGAGCTGCTTTTTTCCCGCACGACATGAACCTAGCATGATATATGAAAAAGGTGATGCAGATCAACAAGAAAGCCTTATAACAAAAATGAAGCAAAAAAAAAAAAAAAAAAGAAGGAAAAATAAATGCATGCAATAAAATAACCAGTGGTGAGGGGTCTTATTTTTATTATTATCTGGGCATAAGTCAAATATAAAATGAGACATACAGATATAAAATATGAGGGAATAACTTCATATTTTCTTAAAAACATTGAAGAAAATTATTTCTCAAGGAAGATGGGAAGGTCTTTTCATATTACTTATTTATATATCAATTTACTATTGCAATTCTTAGTTGTAAAAACGTAATCAGGATTAACAATGACCCTTGAATTATTTTAATCAGAGCCTGAGGCCATAGGGATATGATAACTTTAATTACAGCATTAAATTATTTAGCAGTGCAGGTTCTTAATTTGTCCAAGTCTAGTATTTAGCGTTAGTGGGTCTTAGGCTGTGATGTTAATAGTATATTACCAGATATTAGTTTATATATTTGGCAAAGCAATAATGAAAATGGTTATTAAATTATTATTATTATTATTATTATTATTATTGTGTGAAGTATATTGCATTAAACTGATATAATCAAGACGTGATGTTGTAATGCCAGAACTGACCAACAGAGGTCAGTATAACATCCATAGTCAGTAAATCTGCCTTTCAATCGTCGGAACGTGACTTTGTGAGTTGCAGTCAACATTCTTTTTACTTTATGTTTCTATTTCAGAAACCAGACCCATAATCATCTGCATTTACTCTCATTCTGTAAACAATAACTTTAGGCTCCATTTAAAATTCCTTACATGTCAATGTGAGAGGTAGGGTCGTCTGAAAACATGAGCTAAGTTTTTCCATTATTGTGATTTTCCACCGCACTAGTCCAATGAGTCCAACTTAGGGAAAAAATGGAGGGCAAAGAAAAAAGTGGGAAAAGACGATTCTGTCTGCCTGTTTTCCCACAAGAGCAGCATCAGTCTGTTGGTATTAACTTTAGCACTGCCGTTAGCTTCTACAAGCAGACTGGGTGTGCCTCGGTTTTGATCCTATATTATTAATGTAACTGGACAGCAACTACTATACAATATATTTAAGTGTATACATCGAATATATGCAATAGACAGAAGGAACATAGCACTTCCACCAACTTTCTCTACCGTTCACATCTGCGGCAGCCATATTGTCAGTCTGAAACAATGGATGATGCCAGTGCCAGCAATTATCAATCAATGGGTATTGAGCAGACCTACACTGTTGAGGCTTGTACATAACCCATAACAACAGAGAAATACTTTTTTCTCCCAGAACACAACGATATTACCCTGTTGTCGGAGTCCAACATTTTGGATCTCTTGCATCTTGTTCTTGACGCATTTGAGGCAAAATTAATCGGGTCAGGAGTTTGAAGTGGGCGCGGTCACTAGTAGCTACAGCTGTTAGCTTGGTGACTGAGCACAACAATGAAGAAATCCTGCTCATTTTCTCAATTGCTGTTCCAACACTGCAATTGTGTGAAGTTTTTTTTTTTTTTTTTTTTTGTTATGCTGGTCACAAGACTTCCTGTTGTGGTCCCAGTGGGAGTTTGAAGAGCAGCTGTGTGCACATCTGTACTATAAACACTAAATCCATCATCTTGTCCTGGGCCGTAGCAGCCAACCAGCCAACTGTTGGAAAGCCAGAAGCACAGCAGAGAGAGAAGAAGAGGCATAGCTGGAGTCTCTGGAGCCCACCAGGAATGTGTTAGGGTGTTGTGTTGGGAACCCGGCCACATGACAGGCTGGACACAACTGAACTCCCTCAGCAGATAATATGGACTCAACCTCTGAAATAACAACATGTGAGCAACATGACTACTGGCACCACGCGACATAAAACAATCAAACAAAAACAAGTCAGTTGCTGACATTTGTACAGTAATTAACGATTTTTCCACTCCTGCTGAAGAAACGCATGCAAATAATATTTCTGCGTAAACAAGAGAAGCTCTGTTCATCCCAATCCGTTTCTAATACTCTGTAGTTACAAAGATGTTCTTCGTAGGATCGTTAAAAGGTATTTATTGTTTTTTTTTCTTCATTTCATGAGGTGAGTCTTTCAGGCTCATCTTTTTTTTTTACTTGAGGCTCTTCTTTAATCATTTACTTCCTCAGTTTCCCAAAACCATTCCAAGAATGCCAAGTTTGTGCAGCCAAAAGCTCTTTGGGAGTCACTTCACTTCACTTTTGTACAAACATAATTTGTCAAGCTTTGTTGTTGCAATCTTTGGAGAATAAACTCCAAATTGGGAAGAAATGGTGTCTCTCTGGAACAGTTGGCTCGTGTTATAGACAACTTTATATTTGTGTCCACAAGATTGACATGTGTAGACAAAGCGCCAGTAAAATCTTTTTTTTTTTGCTTTCTGTTCTATGATTTATGTCTAAAGTATGCCATTTGCTATGCTTAAGATCTCTGCTATGTGAGGAAGATGAGCTCTAAGTCTTCAGAAGACATCAGCAGAGTTTGCTGGCATGCCAAACATTTCACAACCTTTAAATTACTACATACCACTTCTTGTTTATAAGATGAGAACATCCCAACCAACTCTGTTACAAACGACATGCTGACTGTTCTGTCAGTGTTAATCTTTACTTTACTTTAAAGCTGTCAGTTTCTCTGTAGTCTCTCACAAAGGACAAAATGAGACATAAGATGGAAATGGTTTTACAGGAACCTTGTGTTTTTTGTTTTCTTTTAAGCACTTGGCAAGACAGCCCTTACAACACATTTCCCGACTCTGCTCGGTTAGCATGAGTACGCCACGCATATTCATGTATGTGGTGTACTGAATTGACCGTTGGCTTTGGAGAATTTCCTTTGAACTCTTCATGTAAATTTGTCCAACAGGAAGTTGCTAACAAGGTTTTTTCATGTAAACTGCAGCTCACAGAAGCGTCACTGACCGAAGTGACGCTTCAGGCTGTAAATTCGTGCAGCCTGAGTCATCAAACCGTACCCAGGCAGGTATTTATTCTCAAGGTAGTAAACAAGACAATCATATGAAATGTGGTGCGGTCCAAATTTATACTTGTATCAATTCTCAGTTATAGAACAATACTGTACACCCAAATAATCAGTAGGTCATATTTTGCCAAACCTTGAACACGGAGTTGATGTCAGCAATCCATCCTCTTCTGCAAGCATGTGGCGACAGAGGAAAGGAACAACTCAGATCTAACAAGAAATCAACAGCTCAGTATGGGCAGCCATCTTTTGAGGCCAAAGGAGATGAGGAGAGGAGATAAAGGAAGCAAACAGTAATTCTTAAGGAAAAAATGGAGAGTATAGAGAGTTAATGTAATGGTGTGTTCACACTAAACGAGTTTTGAGCGTCGAGTGCGTCTGGTTTACAGTCAAAGTCTATGCGGAGATGCATTGAGGGTCGTTGAGGCGTGTTTTAAGTGTCTAGTGCGATGCAATTTGATCAGTTTTGAGCGTATGAAGCGTCCAGCGCTCCACATAGGTTTTGAACGTAAACCAGACGCACCTGATGCTCAAAACATGTTTTGTGTGAACGCACTATTAGACATCGTCACAGACAGAAACACAGGAACCCACTGTCAGGTATTCCTTACCTCAGTATCGTCTTTATCTAACCAAAACATCCAGGTCTATATATCAGCTATACTTGTATGAAAACGTTTCCTGAAGTTACAAATTAACATGAGCTTTTACTTTTGAAACCACTTACTTTCAGTTTTATAGTATGCTGTACATTTGTGTTTGTAACTATCTGGCCACACAATTTACACAGGAGACAGCTTTATCCTGCCTTCAAAGGAAGAATATTAGTTATTTTTCATTTTTGCATGAAATTGCCAGAGTCTGTTCTGAAAACCACTTAGTACCTAAAAAATGATAAAGGAACAAAAATTTACATGTTTGTGTGCAGCTTGAGAAGAAAAGACTACTTAAACACTCAAACTTATTGACAAGAGCCAACTCTTAACTTTGCTGTGTGAGACCCAACATTTGGTGCTTTTTGAAATCAGTATATTTAGAAAATATATATACACTATGTTCAATAAACTCAAACTCAAAACTGGAGACACAGAGTATAAGAGTTAAGAGTTTTTATTTGTTTTGAACAATTTTCTACAGTATTATACTAAAAAGCATAATAAAAGGATACAGGACTATGAGTTACATAGTTTTTATAAGAGTTTGTATGAAAATCAACAAATATTTGTTTTGGTGAAACATTATTAATGTTCTTAGATACATTATTTTAATTACATTACATAAGTGCTTATGAAAAGAAGTAGTAGCTACAGGTTTTTATAGGATTTCAGCTGCTCAGGAATTAACATGCCTGGTATTTTTGTTGAATACAAGTTGCTTACTTCAAATTTATCTTTGCTACTTTACTACAGGTGAGTGTAGAAAACTTATGGTGCTTCTCCATATGTGCAATGTAGGCATGCTATGTACGCCTTTCTCTTTTCCGTGGCTGAGGTTTTCAGTCGTCCCTCAAGCTTTAACACAGAGAACTACTGCAACTCAACATGTATTCTTCATTCTCTAAAGGCCAACATTATTCCAAACAAATATTCAAAATATATTAAAGGTCAATCTTACATGCCTTGCAACACATCAGTAATGTGCTTGGAGGAATGCTGTTACATCAAACCTTCCCTTTCTGAACTCAGTGAGTCAGTAAAAAGCATGCAGCTTTTGAGGACAAAGTGAAACACCATCTAATGGCAGAGCCGCCTGAGCTATAACAGCAAAACTAGCTCTTAAAAAAATAACTTCTCTCCCGGCTTAAAGGGATAGCTCAATTTTTTTTCAACAGAGGTTGTCTGCAGCAACTCTCAGTAATAGTTTTGTTGCCTAAGCCAGGAAAATGAAATATAGCAGTGAGTTTGCAGAAAATTTTAGAGTGGTTAAAAGCTAACCACTAGGTCGAGGTGAAGAGCTAAGTGCTGTGTCACGGTGAAAAGCTAAGAGATGGGTCACCATTTTAGCTAATTTAAGCAATTTAAAACAGCTAATGCTAAAATTGTTTATTTATGCTATAGTACCGTCAATTGTCTACATTTTCCCTAAGCTAATCTATCTTCATGGTACAGGTTTTAAACCATTTATTCTGTTGACAGTTTCCATTTGATTCAATCAGTTATCAAACACTAAGGGATTTTTTTATTCTTGGCTTACGTCACTTGACATAGTTAGCTTGGTTATTGAAGACAACACTTTGCCTTCAATAACCAAGCTAACTGACTGGTTTTCTAAATTTGCAAAACCAGTAGAGATTTTGATTTTTAGGTATTTTCCCAGTTCCATTTTGAACTGTCAAAGTTTGAACTGATTTCTTTTAAATACAGTATTGAATTTTTCAGTCACTGGTCTGACATACAGGTAATTTTTTTATGAAATGGTAAAAGTAATTGCACTAAACTGGCTTAATCCCAGTTGAATTTATAGTTCACATCTTTCATTTTTTCTTTGAACACTGCATCAAAGTGCTGTGCCTCTTCCGGCGTAAGCAGGTTCCTCCAGTCTCCAGCGACCCCTGAAATAAAACACAAGAGACGTGGGACCTTTTAGAAACTCTTTCTTTTTAAAGGAATATGTTGAATTGATCTCATCGGTTATGGAAAGTTATGGAATTTGCACACAAATGTAACATAACTTTAAGTATTTTTGACTTTTATTTCTAAAGTCACTAATGTGTCCAAGTTGTTGCCTTAATGCACTTGAGTTGAAATTTTAATATTTTCAGCAGCAAATAAAAATGAGATTATTCATGCGTTAAAATTCTACAATTCATATAGCTCTATTTTTTTTAACCACATATATTTTGTGCACTTTATTGAATCAGGACAAAGATGGAACAGTTCAATAAAAAATAAAGAATAAGACAGGTAGTTTGAGCAAGACACAAACAGCAGTACCATCGAGACGGCCATAGTTGTTGTTTGTGAACATAAAGTTTATCATAAGACAAAATGGTTTCTTAGGCAACAGTTTCCAGTTTGTAATGCCTGTTTTTTATATCAGTTCAAGATGTTTGCTAATATATCCAAATCCTACTAAATCAGTGGTCAATTTCTCCAGATTATCCTCCTCCATGTTTGAAGACAATAGTTGTATCTACTGTAACTGTGTTCCCAGAGTAACCTTTTGACTTCCTCGTTACTATACTGCAGTTAAACTCTCAAACGTAAAACATGGAATGAGTACCTGGGTAAAATTGAGAATTGCTGCATAACAGGAAGATTCCTCTGATGAGACCTTATGTTGGGAGGAATGTGTTTACACATGCTGGAGCACATCAGAGAACCGATGTGGTTCCAGGGTAAAAATTATGTCAGTCTGAGTGCTGCTAGAAATGCAGCTCCGGAAACACAAAGAGACCACTTAAAATGATCAGTTTCTCTGATTTTACTTTTTACAGGTATATGTTTGAGTAAAATTTATATTGTTCCTTTATTCTATGAACTACTGACAACATGTCTCTGAAATTCCAAGCAAAAATGTAGTATTTGCAGAAAATGAGAAATGGTCAAAATAACACTAAAGATGCAGTGTTTTCAGACCTGAAATAATACAAAGAAAACAAGTTGATATTCATTTAGAAACAACAATGCTAATGTTTTAACTCAGGAAGAGTTCAGAAATCAACATTTGGTGGAATAACCAGGAGGTTTTCAATGGGGTACAGTGAAGTGGGCTCTTCATTTTTTCCAGAGCTGTATAGTGTTAAGATTTACAGAATTTGTCACAAGCAGCCGTTCATCATTGTGACGACGTGCTTTTAAATTCATCTGTAGCGTGCTGGATTGCTAGGTCTCCAAGCTATTACTTTTGAAAACCTTTTCTTTTGATTTTATTCTCCTTGCTGGATGAACCACCAGGTAAATCCTTATATTACAAACTCACCCAGAGTCTTTATTAGTACTTTAGTTATGGGCATCCATCGTGTTATCCAAAACAATGTCACTACTCCTGTTACTTTTGGCAGCTTTTTCAGCTGGGTTGAGATTATTACTTTTTAAGGGCATTTAAAATCAGGAGCGTTTCCAAATTCACTGTACAAAATAATCCAAACCAGTCTTAACTGGCATGAAAACCAGGAATCTAAAACAGACACCCATTCCACCACTAGGGGGCCATGTTAATTACAAAAACTCACCTTTACGAAGGAACTGAGTCTTTGTTTGGTCCATGAACTCCTGGGGCACCACTGAGTAGTTGGACATAGGGTTGTTCTTCATGTTTTTGAATAAACACTTGTCGGCTATCTTCTTCAGCACATCGGGCTCCAAAGACTTCCCCAGGAACTGAGCGATTCTGCTCACAGAGTGGTTCAGGTCCTGCTGAATCCGAAGGCACAACACAGTTCCATTTCAGAGATTGGTTCATGTTCACAGAGAGTTTCATGGCAAGATTCGCTATTCCTGTACGACTTGTTTGAAACCAAACACAAAGGAAAAAGCACTTTGCTGTCACCTTTATCATCTCCTCGTAGGAGATGTACATGATCTGCAGTTCCTCTTTAGCGTTCAGCCAGCCTTTCACATGGTCAAACCAGGAGCCAAAAATAACTGAAAAAAAAAAACAAAAACCAACAGATTCACACATTTTTTCTCTTTATCAAGGATTGTGAATCAGTTTTTGAACACAAATAAGATTAGATTTATACTCTGTAACACTTTCACAGTGCATGCAGGATAAAGCTACATAGAGATGGTAACCTTTTCCCGTGAGGAACTTCTGGAGGAACTCGCTCTGCGAACCCGGTTTCACCAAGAATGAGCTGATGTTGTAATAGTGAAAGGCAGACGTGAACACGTCTTTGGGGTTCCTCATGACGTAGACCACCTGCAGAGATGGTACAACAGTTTATAATGTATCTCCAAAGTACAGAGTTTCATAGCAAAACCCTTTGGTTTGTGTATTTATTTGTTTTTCATTTCAAAATCATAAAATTAGACTAACTCAAAATATCCAAAGTAAAAACTTCCTCACATTTTTTAACAATTATTTTAACATGCACAAACTGGAATAAGATGGCTTAAATTATTTTTAAAAATTCACAGAGTGCAGAAACAGATCATGCCTTTTTGAATTTGTGAATTTCTCAATGAGTTGTACTAAATTTTTTGAACTTCTTCAAAAAATGCGACCCAAATCTGGATCACAAGTTCATATCAAAAGTAGTGATGCACCGATCCAATATTAATATCTGTATCAGTCCCGATATCAAGAAACATCCTAGATCAGTTATCGGTGACAATGCGCCGGTCCAGAAGGGCGGCTCTATTCAGTCTAATTCTATGTTTTGTGCTCTGAGCGACATCATACTTTCATTATTTATTTTATTTAAAATTTCTAATCGATTGAAGCTTCTGAACCATTTGAAACAATGTTTATTGTGGTTTATTTTTACATGTTTGAATTATGTCAGTTATCAACAGATTTTGTAATTCAATACATTTATGTTTGTTTAAAAAAAGGAAACATTTTAAGTCAACTAGAGCACTGTTTTCGGTATTAGCCGATGCTAAACCTCCGATATCTGTATTGGGATCAGAAGTGAAAAAAGTGGACTGGTGTATCCCTAGTCAAGAAGGGGAAAAAAATGTTTTTGATAACACACAGAGAGGATTTTATTAGATTAATAAAGTACAGCAGTGATCCCAACCACAGACTCAGTGGCAGGTTTACCTTTGGTTTTACTTGAAAGAAGGATGGCGGCATCATGTTGTAGTGGAAGTGCGTGGTGAACAAGCGGGGAGACGGCCGCTCTTCAAGCTTCAGGCTGGAGGCCCGGGTCTCCTCCAGCCAGGGAACGCGGTCCCAGTTAGGCAGCGTCTCAACGGAGGCTGGATCCCCTCCACTTAGGATCAGGGGAAGAATTTCCTGCATCCAAGTTGTCCCTACACAAAGAAAACAAGGTAGTGAGAACATGCAGCCTTTTTTTTAATTTCATTACTATTAGCAAATATTTAAAGCCAGGACAACCGTGCTGAATATCACAATGTTTCACAGAGTTTTCATTAAAGTACGTTGATAAAATCCACCAAACTTGATGGATAACTTGAATTAAAGGAAGAAGACTTCCCCTTTCAACTTTTCTTACGTTAGATTTGTAGATTATAACAAACTGAATAGATTTTAGTTCAAGTTCAGAGCTGAAAAATGCAAAATAAAAAAATTATTCATTTCAATTGGATTCTAATCCTGACCCAAACTCTTTTCCTTTTTTTTTCTAAAAGTCAGGATCAGCGCAGTTGATTTAAAATTGACCCAGCTTTTAAACCATAATTGCTGTGAAACAGTCTGAGATTAATGATAGGTCAAAATTGTTTATTTTGGCCTTTATCACTGGCCAAAATAAACCTTGGCCTTATTTTGGCCAAGATTCAGACGCAACAACATTGGAAACTAAAAGCTAGCTGAGGTAAATCAAAGGTTACGGAAAGTTAAGTACTACTTTGTTTTTTTTCATGGTTTCAAGCCTTGTGTCTACATAGGAACTGACTGAAAACACTTTTTTTTTTAAAATAAATTGGCTCCAGATAAAAATACCCATTTAAAATGCCTTGCTTGCATTTTTGTGTCTAAAAAGGGAAAAACAAAACAACAACAAAAAACTATGTCACAGCCCCAATTTCCAAAGTGTACTTCCCCCATTTCTCGTCTGTATTTGGTGTATTGCTGCTGCAGCATCACCCCACCATCCTGCAGGCCTGTCACTGCAGCGTTTGGCTTGTTTTTAGAGATCTGACAATGATTTATCCACAAAGGCAGCCTTTCAAAAACAAGAAGTGAAAATATAGTTTTCTAAAAATGTTTAGATGTTAAAAACATCCCAATTTACGTAAATTATTACTGTAATTATATAAATAAAAACTACACTTTAATACAGATCTAGAACTTTGGAGAGCAGGCCTTAGAAAATCCACTTCAGAACCACTGGAATACCTCAAAATTCTAAGTAATTGAGTAAAACTTTAATTAGGCAACCTAAAGTAGATATGATCAATATACATCAAGACTAAAATGTCCAGATGGACTTGAGGAAATGAGTACTTTAACTATCAGGAATCTTTTTTCCCACAATACCACCATATTGCTGATCTGCCACCACCATGGAGAACACATGGGCATAAAGAAGATTCCTATGCCTAATACAGTATATCCTGGGTTATGCAAGGTATATCATTTGAGGCATGAAGATAATGTATTAAAACAATTCTTTTAATGTTGCATACAGGTGTGGCCCAGCTAAAGGAAGTACTAGCATTAGCTCTTTTCACATCACAGTCCTCTGATATGGCAGCAAAGACAACTAGCCTCAGCCTTTTTACAAGTCCAACACTGCTGGGCACATCCTGCAACAATGGGCGCTTACATACAGTAAATGGAGAAAGAAGGGCCTTGTCCAGCCAGTTTGTGACTGAAGCATGGTTTATTATAATGACATGTGACTCTTGTCCCACTACTCCTACCATCACAACAGACACTTGTTTACCTTCAAGGTGCAACGGAAAGCAGGTTAACCTCAACCCATGCTTTCCATTCAAGACATTACTCAGCATAAATCGTTTACCGTATCAAGGGATGCTACAACACTAGAAAACAATGTTTCAAAACTCTTAAGGGCCTTTTAATAAAATGCCAGACAAAGTACCTGATGAACCAGTTTCACTAGCTGTATAGAGTCAGCCAACAAGTTTGTCTCTCAGTGGCTGCATTTCCATTGACCGTACAACAGCACAACTTGACATTTCGAAAATAAATTTGCTTAATGGAACCACAGCAATTTAGGTTTTTGATTCAAGAACCGGAGGTGGCTCTTTTTGCCATATCAAAATTAGTTTATTTCTCAAAATTGCAATAGAACCACATTTTTCGTACGACACAAGTTACATCATCACACAACCAGATGTTGCCACTGACACAAACCACAACAAAAAAGTTTTTTATTTAAATGACTTATCGGACATACAAACTTATTCACGCGTCTCTTTTTAAATTTTTTAATGGAAATTGCGAAACAGCCAATGCCTAACACACAACGAGCCTGTGTGGCAGAGTCAGGCTCGTTGTGTGTTAGGCTCTGGTTCCCAGAACAAGAACTAAACAAGGTAAGGCTGCATTTAGTTTCTATAATCCTTAACATAGGAAGAGACTCTCAAAAAGGCAAATGCTTTTTTTTTTAACTTGAGGATTAAATAAAACCAATTTCTCAAATCTCATTTACTGGATGAATGTCTTCAAAAAGAGGTAAATCATGGTGACCACATATAGAAATCAATTTGTATACAGGAATACCATCCACACTTGTGGTTGCTTTCGGTTGAACACCACAGCGTCAGACAGGATACTGATACATCTCCGGACCGTAACTTCGCCAACAGGTCATTTCCCACCAATAACACCTGGGCTATATCTTGACCTAAATGCACAGAATGCTGGAAGATGTGGGCGACACTTCTGTGAAAACTTATCAGATCAAAACTGTGTCAGAGGCAGAGAGGAAGCCTCAGATGAGTTGAAACAAGAGCCAAAGATTTTTTTTTTTAAAAGTGAGTTTATCAACAAATATCTCTTTAACCTCATGAGTCAAGCTTTTGACCACAACACAGCACTGAGACTGCACCAGTAAAGGTTTGAAATTATATAAACTTTAACAGCAAGACGTCAAAACGTCTGTGTTGGGTTTTACTGGATCTCAGTGCCATGTTTGACGCAGCTAACCTATCTGATGTAGAGACAGGAAAAGTTGGTGTGACGTCTGCTCCTACAACTTTTGGTTCAGATTTTATGAGTCAGATCGAAACTACGCTGTCATTTTGAAATACTTTTAAGCAAACCAAAAGAAAGAAAACCCATGTGAGGTTCCTCAAGGCTACATTCTCAGGCCACTTTATTTTCATCTACACGTTCTCTCCTGATTAGATGATGTAGTGCTCCTACATCTACTATATTTATCAGACGACATATCGGAATCAATATCCGATGTTTGTTTACGTCTGGTTGCAATTATGACACAATGTGGGAGCGTTGGGGTGTTTATCTGACACAATTTAGATGGTGTGGTTGCTTTTATAAATTGTTGTAAGTGTAAGAATATATATATACATACAAAATATCAATAAATATTGGTAATCACCTTAAAAACATCACTAGAATACAAGGTTTACTGTCAAAATGGGACACAGAAAAACTTGCTGTTAATTTCAGTAGGTTACATTATTGTAATTATCGTATGTGGGTTTCTGTAACAAAAGAAGTAGGCAACTGCAGTTTGTCCTTAATGTTGCCAAAAGTGTCCTAAACAAACCAAGAAAATGGATCACATCAATCATATCAGCCTTTATCGATGCAGTTATTCCTCATCGGTAAAAGGACAGATTTTAAAATCTCATTGATGGTCTGTAAGGTACACAATGGTGTAGAGTTGAGTTGCTGGTTAGGTACAAATCTTAACTATGTTCCCAGAACAAGAACTAAACAAGGTAAGGCTGCATTTAGTTTCTATAATCCTTAACATAGGAAGAGACTCTGAAAGTCTGACATGTCCAGAAACTGTTGGTTCCTGCAAATCAGAAACCAAAAGTTTCTGGGGCAACTTTGTACCAACGTTGCTGTTTGTCACAACTTTCCCATATGGTAAGATATTACTTTATCAAATCATTTTCATGATTGAACTTTGTTTTAAATTAGCAATTTTAAGGCACCTGAGGGGTGCCTAAGGAACTAGGTCCAGTTTTGAACAATGGTTGCTTGTCTGAGAAATAAATCTATGGGTTTTGTACAATGTGTGTCGCGTGAATGGATGTTACCGTTTAGAAGACACCTAATCTCGTTGGAGTTTATGACAATAAAGATTACTGTTTTTTTTTTGTTTGTTTTGTTTTGTTTTAAGCAAATGAATAATCTCAGGACCAATCTGTTGGGAACATCTGTAGCTTTACAAAGAACCGATATCTGGTTGCGTACTGTGAGATCTTACATGGGGAGACAAAAAGAGTAGAGAAAAAGGAGAGGGAAGGCTGAACCGAGTATTGAAAGAAACAGATTAAGCTCTCAAAGAGCCCTGTTGTACTGTCCTGTTCCTAAAAGCTAAGAAAACCCAAAGGAATAACTGTACTGTATAACGGTTGTGAAAGAAGAAAACACCTGTCTTCTGGAATCATGATGGTTTCCGCTTACGAAACTGGAATAAGAAACAGACCCAGTTTTGATGGCTTTCCAGCTGTAAGTTGAGGGGAACGGTGAAAATGGTATTCAAAATAAGTGGTCATAGCAACACTGAATAAAAGAAATAGAAATCAACAGAACTAATCCAAATGGAAACCTGTTTGGCGATACAGAGTTTCCACCCCGTGTATTATAAGCCTGGCGGGCCACCAGGCTTTACCTGTGTCCCCACCAGGCTAAGCATTGCTTTTTTTAAAGTCTTTTTAAAATGTTTGCATTTTTTAAGACTTTATAGTTGGTGTTCAGGTATTAATCTTCCAGACTTTTAATAACACATGATTATCAAGTGATATTTTCAAATTTCCTGCCAACTTTATAAAAACATTTTTAACTCAAAAAAATGACGGGCTGCTGTGGTGGAAAATTACTGATCATGCTATATTAAATGCAAACACTCACCAAAAGAACTATTTGGGTTACATGTAGAAGGTTGGAAGTTGTTTTCTATAGCTGCACCAGAACCAGACTGTCCCGCCCCTTGTTTTTAATTCCTTATCCTTGGTATAAAACTCATGTGTTGTCTCTGCCTGGCAGAGCTTTTCACCCGGACCTGCTTCATTATTGATTGTCCTACAAGTTCTCTGTATTGTGCACAATATATGAATAAAGCTGATTGAGTGATATCACCTGACAGTGCTTGGTAATATAGTTTTTTTTTCCACAACACACCCAACTGGCTTGGTAATATGTAATAGTGCCAATAATCTCGAAAAGTAAGAACAGATGCCAAGCAAAGCCATTGGCTTGTATCAGTTTTGAGAGGCTTGCAAAGTCATTTCTACAGCTTCGGGACTCAAGCAAATTACAGTGAGAGCCATAATCCCCCAAGGGAGAAACGTGGATGATCCATTAAAAACGTCTGTTTTGTGTTTTCTTGCACAAAAAAACATTACTTTAAGAACAAACACACTTGGGTAATGAAGCAGAATTATGACCCAGAAACAAACCAATAAGTCCACATTAGAATGGCTCAAATACACAACAAACAAGCCGTATTTTAATTAATTAATCTTGGAGTGACCAAGTCAAAACCTGGACCTAAATCCGACTGAGGTTGAAAATCAAATCAGGTCAAATTTAAACAATTCTGGCCAAAAACTCAAGTACAATGACGTACAACACTCAGAATTGGATTTTATATTTAACCAGGTTACATTTAAATTATGTTCAAATGTATTTGATGGTCATTCAGAGTCATTTCCATGTGAAAAGGACAATTATTTGTGCGTGTGTGTGTGCGTGTGTGTATAAAATATAGTTTGTGTTTCAACACGTTTAAAAGTGCTGCCATTTGGCACAGCGTAACTTTATGTCCTTAAGGAACTCGTTCTCTCTCTTTTTTTTATCGTGATGGCACAACAATGACGAAACGCTACCTCCGGATAACCCTTGGCTTAAGGGTAAAGTCCAATTCTTGGCCAGTTTTGTATAAATTATCGAAACACCTCACTATTTACGCGTTTATCTAGCAGTCTAGATTATTTTTTGAAAAAGCGTTAAAATACCCCCCCCCACACACACACACACACACACCCTTACCCCCCTCTGTTCATGACGCGAATGACGGCGGGACGCTCACCTGATTTGGGGTACGTTACGATGACAACATCGTCAGGACGAAATGTAAACTCCTCGTAGTACTTGAGGCTCTCCGGAGTATGTACCCCATTAGGTACATAGACGCCCTTGTACAGAGTGTAGAGGTCCGCTTCAGTCATGGTTCCGAGAAGAGTGAACGGAACTAAGTGTGTGCGGTTCGGGCAGCTCCGAGCTGAACACTGCTGGACTTTGTCTGAACTTTGTTGATAATAATGAGTAGGTTGGGACTATAAACCGTCGCCTCTTCCGGTGTTATGCCCAGAGCGATGCGCGCTCCCGCGAGAGGGGATGCAATTTTGGGCAGGCATGCGTTTCTGGGCATAACACCTGTTTCTGTGTTAGACTTTGAAACGTAACATAAAACACAGTTTTCAATTCTGTATCTTTTAGCCATATATGTGTGAAAATGAATCGTAGATGTTTTGTATGTTTACAAAAAAAAATGTTTTGTATGTTTATATCCAGCTTTGCAAAAGTATTCACACTCTCTGTTCATCTTACAAACACAACCTTGAATGTGACTAAGACTTTTTGTGGAAGACAGAGACGGCCCAAAGCAGAAGCAAACTAAGCCGCTTCTTAGGGCATCCCATAAATGCTTTGATTTTTATCACAAACTTTTTATCTGACATTTTTGTATTTGTTGAGAATGAGAGTACTACTAAATTTGAATGTTTAAGCACAGATCTAAAGAATGCTTAAACATTCTTTAGATCTTAAAATAGTTTAAGATCTAAAGATCTTAAACTATTTAGAATTTAAAGAAATTGGCATGTTTATATGGTAAAAGTCCTGGCAATGCCACCTTAGTATGCAGTTAAGTTCTACAGACATCTATAAATTAACTTTTTATTTATTATTAATTAAAACTTCCCTCCGGGACTGGTGTTTAGGGTGCTTTAAAGGTTGTTATCCTGCTGAGAGGTGAACATCTGTTCCAGTCTTAAGCCTTCAAAAGTTTTCTTTCATAATTGTGCTGTTTTTAAGTCAACTTGACTTCCCATCCACTGTGACGAGCAGTTAGCCATACTATGTTTTAAACATAAGAACAAATTCCTCTGCTGTGTTCCTTTCTCTTTATTTTCTCTAATGTTCTCCAGCAAACCTTTCCGAGACCTTCTCAGATCAGCTGGGTTTACATTGAGGTTAAATTACAGACTTAGAAGTCCACTCAGACTTCTGACGGCAGATTTTTCCACTGGATTTCATTTAAAGGTGTCAGACTAAAGGGGGTTGAAAACAACTGCGTGCCACTCTTTTCAGATTTTATATATAAGCAAAAAACTGTGCTTTTATTTACACTTATTTACTTCTTCAGGTTAGTCTCACACAATCCCCACAAATGAAATACATTGCTACTTTCCTAAAATAATGCTAATAGTCCCTAGAATACATCATCTTTTGCCAAAAAAAAAATCACTTTTGGCTAAAATGACAAAGGTCTTTTATGTTAGGAAGTAACAACATTTAAGTTTGTGGTCGTAACATAAGTGCACTGATTTACACCAAGAACCCTGAGCCTCACATTCTGCTTTACATTCCATTGCAGTCAAGTCTGGACATCTAGTTCACTCCCTTTTATGCACTATTGAGGGTTACTCAATAGTCTTCAGTCTATTGAGTAACCCTTAAATGCGCTGACAAAGCCACATTTATCTTCAATAATGGACAGAATGACAAAAGACATCATTTTTCATAAAGAGGCAGAAAAATCTTTGGCTACTTACTTTGCAAGGGTTCAAACAACTGGCTAATAATGTGGACTATTATCTGTTATCTGGATCAGTATGGGTTTAGCGTTTTTGGCTATGTGTGGCTGTTTATCGTCCATCTTAGCAACAAACTCTCAGAGTGTATATCCAGCCAAACAGTCTTCTTTGGTCAAACAGAGCTTTCACAGGCATCTTCAGAGAAGGGTAAGTACACACACAGCTTAGTTCACGTCTGATGGACTTGTAATCCTTAATTTTTAATAACCAATTATCTTCCCATTGGCATGGAAGGGTTTAATAGGGCTATGAGGTACCAGTTTACATCTGGGCTGCATTAACACTGTAGTGTCTGATAGCACCCAGGCTTCTCACATCCCTAGTGAATGTCTCACATGGGACTGATCGATGTATGGAGTCCAATAGACTGAGACTCCATTTTATGGTCTCATTAAAGGGACGGAGAAAAGGTATTAATTCCAGCATCCTATGGAGAGGCAGGTATCACAAGACTAGAAAAACAGGGACAATGAAGGTAATGAAAACGTTATGAGACCCAAATGTGTGTTCAGAGGACGATATAAGATGTTGTGTTGTGAAAGTTGGAGGTAGCGGGGTTCTTTATTGATTGGGTCACGATTCCTTGCGATTTGGTTGTCGTGATACGGGTGGCAGGTCAGAATAAAATCTTTCATTGTTCAGCTGATCCATCACCATACCAGCGACTTGAAGACGACAGCTAACAAATAACCACAGCACCTTCCCTGCTCAGTCCCCTTTAATCAAACTCTAGTTCATTTGTCTAGAAAGTCGGGTTCATTTGGGGAGTTATGAATGAGCAATTGAACTCTGACCAAACATTAAACTCCGGTCCACCTACAAACCTAAGTCTCTGTTTGAATGCAAACAGACCGCTCTAAAAGCAAGAAGCAGACTAAAGAATAGAGCATTCTGGGTAAATACAACCGCCCAGCGCTAGACGGTCTTTTGCCAGAGACAAAAGAGAAATCCTACAACTGCTAAATTCTGGTGCCACTAGAGTCCTCTAGGTGTCTCTGCAAACCTGACAAATTTCTTTGGCCTAGCTTGCTGTGCGCTAACAGGTACAATAGCACCCTGAGCAGGTGGGCTATGTATAATAGAAACCTGAGTCCCATCATTGCTGTATGAAGAAGAAGATGATGTTGACGTCTTCGAGTCGTGACCTTTGGCATTCACTGGAGCTCTTCACTGTAACAACAACGGAGCGTCAGGAGTGAGAGTTAGCTCTCTGATGTCTGAAGCCATTGTTCTCAACTGAAAAAAGATGTATTACTCTCTCTTGGACATACTTTCTAAATTTTTATTAAACATTTAATTTACCAGAATAAAATCCCATTGAGATTAAAAACTTGGCCAAGAGGCAGCAACAAGTACAACACAAAAAGTTACACGTTAAAAAGAAAAATGACAAGCCATCAAGAACAGGTAGGCTACATGTCATTGAATCGGATTTTAGTTTGGATGTAAAGGCACTAACTGAGATAAATTCAGTCAATCTCAAAGTTTCTTGTGGCAAGTTACAGGAAACTGGAGTAGAGTGAATAAAAACTCGTTAGCTGGGCAACAGCATCCTTCTTGCCCTTTTGAGATCTTCAAGACATTTGGTAGAGATTCATCACCTCTGAGGTTTGTTTATTTTACACAAATCAAAAGTCACACGAAATATGTGGATTACAGCTATGTGAATAACCGATTACCTGACTGAGATAATAGCTTCAAATGAAAGCAAATGTAAAGTTGAGTGGCCATTCTTGGTCACAGCCACTAGGTGGAGCAAAAGACCAGAGGAAGAGCCGCCCTGCTGCAGCTTTATGGGTGAAGGGGAACAAGATCTGTGGAGGATGAACCTCAGCTGACCTCAGTTTCATTCTGTGCTATGCTGAAGCAGACAGGAAGTGGTTTTGCTCAAAATACTTTTGAATTGTTAAATAAAGTACCGCATGCTCTCAACAGGATATCAACAGGCTAGCGTGCAAGGAAACATACACACTAGCGACGGAAGTCCAAAGGTAAGGAAACCTCACCACATCTTTAACTTAGCAGCCCAGTTAACCTGCAAGAGATATGTTGATTGTTCCAGGTGAAGATGATCTTTTATTGTAAAAGTGAGAAATGTGAGAAAAAAAATCCAGGATTTGATTTGACTTATTCATAGGGGAAGGGAAAAATCCAAATTAGAAAAAAAAAAAATGCTTTTTACAAAATTACCATCTTCACTACACTGTGTTTATTGGTGCTTTATATATTTCAGTCAATCAATTTCCAGAAACCTTTAGTTAGTGATGCTCTGCTAAAGTTTAAATGGAGATGCAGTTTCTGGCTCACAGAGCAGGCCTCCCCTGTAACTCCTCCACCCAGCTCCTTCAGACTAGCCAGCAGCAATTAGCAAACACTGTGCATCTGATGAGCTCATTATAGTAGCTACTTCTAAGTACGACGCTGGTAAAGACCAATAATTAACAGAATAGCTAGGTTGTTAAGACTTCCTGAAGGCAGAGAGCAGACATTTTTAAAGAGACAGAAGCCCAATTTCAAGGCGTTAAATTACAAAGTCAAATTTCTTCTCCGTCATATTTGATATTGATGGCGTTTTTATAACAACTGAAGGTAACATAGTTACCTGATTGTTGAGTAAAATGGCACTATGTGCCTAGAAGATTCATAACACTGCACCCTTAAGGCTTTTCAGACATCTGTAAAAGGGTACTGGATGGTCTCCTTTGGTCAAACACAGTTTTCACAGGCATGCTCAGAGAAGGGTAAGTACACACACAGCTTGTCTGGATTCAGTCTGAGCAAATTTTCAAACTTTCGAAGCAAATTCTCCGCTACTTGAAACAAAATCCAGCATCACTCAAAGATAACAAGAAATTATTACAGTAATTTTTCTAACTCAGAAGCTGCTAATTTACAATGATCATCTAAAACCAAAGTTCCTCTTCGTAGTCCATTTTCTGTGCATGCCGTGTTCAACAGGCTCTGGAAGTCTCGTGCAGAGCAGATTGTGGTTCAGTAGTCCCTTAACAACTGCAGAGTCAGCATTCATTCTGTAGTGCTGCAGCCATGTAGTGCGATCTTGCCACCAGTAACCTCGGTCTGGCGCCTGATGACTGGATCAGCTCCTTTCCGCTAACGGAGGCAAAGAGGCAGAGAGCATGTACTGTAAATAAAAGCCGCTCGTCCGGATTGTAGTTTGTGTTTTTGTTAAACCGGGTAATGTTCCTAACCTCTCGTAATCCAATCCGAGCAGATTGACTCCGTTGACAGCCAGGATCCTGTCTCCAGGCTCCAGCTTCTCACACTTGGCGGCAGGAGAGTCTGGCACGACCGCACGGATAAAGACGCCCTTCACCTTCATGGATGTGTTCTGATCGGGGAAATATGATAGCCAGGAGTCAGGGGAAACAAGGATTTCACACTTGAAGCTTTTTTTTTTTTACCTGACTGTCAAATGTTTTAGTAGCAACACAGTTTACAGGCGTACTGTGTGGGCAGCTTATGATCAGTCAAGCATGCTAGCTGCAGCAATAGCAGGATACAATTTTCCTAAAAATCTAGCTTTATTTCAGCGCAGGGATTCATTTTTTTTGTTACTGCCACTAGACAGAAAATATTTTACATTCACATCCCACGATAGCTACGTTTCCAGTAACCATAAAATTGCGCAACTTGAAATTATGAAAACAGATTTGCTTAAAGGAAATGCAGCAATTTCGGAAAAACTCACGTTTTCGATAATATGTATCTTTTTGCTAGAATGAAGTAGTTTTTCAGCTGCATGAAAATAGATTTTTTGATACAGTTTTTCGATATATTATCGAAAAAATTCTGTTTTTCGAGAATATTTCAAAATACAGGGGTTTTTCAAAATAAAAAATAAAAAACATCCCAAAAACGGGATATATTTTTTATATATCATCAAAAAACTCCTGTATTTCAATAATATACATATATTTTTTGCTAGGATGAAGTGGTTTTTCTGATGTAACAAACTAAGACTTTTTTTACAAAACTGCAATGGAAACTTTTTTCGCATCACACGAGTCACGTGAGCAACAGCCAAATGTTACTACTACTGGCAGAAACTGCGAAGAAGACGACAGGAAGTGATCGGAGGATGATGATTTTGTTTTTTTTTTTGTTTGTTTTTTTTAAACAATGTGCAGCTGGCTCCACCGGTGCTCTCCCAGAATCACAAGTTTCATAAAAAGTTGTGAAAAAACGTTGTCATTTGTTAAATCCATAATCCCAGGCATAAGGTGTTTGTTGCTCCAACGCCTGAAAAAGACGCACACGTCTCCTTTGATGTCTGAGTTATGAATATATCTCATGTCTCTGATTGCATCCATTGCTGCCATAACTTATAAAGACTTATTGCGCAAACAAGATATTCACATGTAATTTTAATTTAATTTCTTATTAAATGGAAACAGAAATTGCAAAACTGTGATTTTTTGATAGAAGGTGGAACCGAAGTCTAAAACCTCCACGGACATGTATAATACAGCTTTTTTTTCTTTTTTTTAACTTTACTGACCCTCGTGTCCACCAGAGCAAGGCCGAGTCCCGTTTCGCCCCGCTCCAGCTCCAAACTGAAAACCTCGTCGTTGTCGTCCACTTCCTCTTCCCCAGCCTCCTCTTCCTCCTCTTTTAGCTCCAGAAGTCTTTTCACGGTGTCGCAGTCCGATTTCAAATGGTCCGCATTCAGTGCGGCCAGACACTCGGACACTAAGCCACCTGCGGAGAAGTTTGAAAGCATGTTCAGTTCTATTTATCACAACACAGTTAGCGGAAGAGCATGAATTTAAAAAATAAAAATGTTATTGGACCTTCGCATTCCACTGTTTCACTGTTGGGATTCATCAAGGCTCCTGTTTTAGGTCGGATAAGGAGGCAGGGAGGGTCCAGAGCCGACCATTGCACCTCACTGGGTTCTGTCGGCTCCAGATTTATTTGATTTTCAGCTACAATATGTGGAACAACAGTGCTGAGCTCATCCCAGTTAAGACACGATGGTGATGGAGGTAGAATCAGGTCATCCGGTGATGAATTACAGGCTTCTAAGCCAACATTTTGAAGGATGTCGTTGACCGCCTGAGCAGCGTCCGTCTGAGCGGCACCAACCTACAGAACAGCTTGGGTTAGTTTGATAATACAGTAAGGCATGAAACATTGGAGATCACAAATTCTTCTAAAATAACTTGAGAAATTGTTGGCATTTTTTTTAGTGTTGGAGTAACTTGTTGGCATTTTGTTTTGTTGTTTTGACATCAGGGTCAATCATTTTTAAAAATCCTCATTTGAGTAGGATATGGTTTTCCTAAAATTTAGCAAAAAAGAGCTTTATTTCACAAACAAAAAAACTTGTTTTGCTAGGATGAAGTGGTTTTTCAGTTGTATGAAAATAGATTTTTTCACTCGTCTTCAATAGAAACACTTTTTTCACGTGACACGAGTCACATGATCAACAGCCAGATATTACTACTGGTGAAAACCAGGAAGTGGTTTTCACCAGGATGATGATTTGTTTGTTTGTTTCAGTCAGTGTGTGAAAAAAGATAAAACTAAAACTAAAACAAATATTCTTGTCAGACAGGTTACTAGAATCTAACTTTTCAGGTTGCCCTCATTAGCTGGGTTTCCATTACAAATGTAGTGCAAAACTTTGTCGATATTTCGCTAATGTCGAAAAAACACCATTTCGCAATTGCGAAAATAAGAAAAAGCAACTAAAATCCCACGCGAATAAATCTGTTCACGCTATAAGGTGGTTGCCAGTTTTATCACCTGACACTAAACACCAAATATAAAAGGGGAAAATCAACATTTTGCCACCTGGTGCTTCTTAGCATCTGCATCGTTCATCTGGGAATCAGACAGCGCGCCGATAAACTCCTTGAGCTTTTGCAGCTGCTCCCTCAGAGCTGGGTCTGCCACTGGCCGTCTGAGCTGGAGCAGGTAACCTTCGTCTGGAAGCTCCAGCGGATGGTGGGTGTCAAAACTCTCCAGGATATCAGCTAAGTAAAGGTAAATTGTATTTCAGCACAATATTTAAGAACTACCCGGATTATTCCATAGAGGACTTTTCACCTGTTGTGTTGGCTGGCCCTCGGTCCTGTGCGGATGGAGCCCACGTTTGGGCGCAGGGTGAGGCCGGGCTGTACAAACTCAGCAGGTGGTGCAGCTGGGCCGGACTCAGGGCGGGATAGTCGGAGCGCAAGGACGCCCACGGCGTCTACATTGTGAACGACACAACAAGGACAAAATGTTTCTACACTTCCAAGGGACCGTTCAGGACATAATGGACGATCGGTCTCCAACATAAAACACAGCTGCTGCGCTCGCCTCTTTAGATTTTACTAATAAGGCAAAGATAACGGCATCCAACATGCTGAACTCAAGTGGGTGTCGTCATGGAAAGGTATGGAAATTAGTTACAATACTGGCGTGTCAGTGTCTGGAAACCTTCAAGATCCCGTTGAACTGTTGCCTGAACTACGTTGCAAAAGGAGAAGCTTCCTCTGCTCTCTTTGTTTCAATCGTTGTAGCAGTAAAAGACAAGCAAGACAGTGGCCATTTAATGTAAAACCACCACTAGACTGGATTAAAAGATCAAGAAGACACTGAAGCTATGACCTAGGTTATATTTTTCTTTCAGCTAAAGAAAAAGAACGTCTGCTTCAAATGAAACTAGAGCTAAAACTTTAACTGCAGACATTTTGTCAATAACCGTCCATCGGACGGTCATTTTAGGACAGTTAAAGTAAATTAAGAGCCTAATCTACAAGAGGTAATCTAATCCCTTTCAACAGAACCTCGCTTCACAAATACCAGTGTGGGGATAATTTATTGTTGGACGATGTGCGCTGTTTGTTTGTACCTGCAGTAAATTCTTTCTTGGCGTAGCCAGCAGGTTGATAGCTGAAGAGAGAGTGTGTGTGTGCTCCAAGGCCAGTTCTCCAAGTCCAGCTGCGTGGGCCCAGTCCAGAACCAGGTCGAGATTGGCTCGCATTCGCACTCCTCTGGACCACTGGTAGAAGCCTGGTTCTGAGCCTGGGTGTACATGAAGAGAAAACTGGTCAGACATTTTGTTTTTTACCCGTTTTAGAGTCATGAATCAAGCCAGTAAGGAGAATACGGATGTACTTTAAGACATAGTTCTGTTTTCTGTGTATTGATACTGGTGTTTTCTATGTTGATTTTGGTGTTTTCTATGTGTTGATGCTGGTGTTTTGTATGTGTTGATACTGGTGTTTTCTGTGTGTTAATGCTGGTATTTTCTACATGTTTTCTATATGTTGATACTAGATTTTTCTATGTTTTGATGCAGGTGTTTTCTATGTGGTGATGCTGGTGTTTTCTATGTTTTGATGCAGGTGTTTTCTATGCCTTGATACAGGTGTTCCCCATGTGTTGATATTGGTGTTTTCTGTGTATTGATACTGGTGTTTTCTGTGTATTGATATTGGTGTCTTCTATGTATTGATACTGGTGTTTTCTATGTATTGATACTGGTGTTTTCTATATGTTAATGTTGGTGTATTCCATATCCTGATGTTGATGTTTCCTATGTGTTGGCACTAGGGTTCATGTCTCTTGATGTTGTCGTTTTGTGTTGATGTCCGAAATTAGTGTGTGTCTTTTCGCAGGTACCTCTCTCCATGAGTGAGTTGAAGAGCGATGCATTTATGAAGTAGAAGAGGTAGCCAATGAGCTGAGAGGAGACCTCTGGGTGGACCTGACAGTCTAAAAGCAGCCTCCAGCTCTCATCCAGAACCTCCACTACTTGACTGATCTCCATGGGGACGTGCATCCCGCTACCACCCAGGCCACGACCACAGTCTCCGGCACTCTCCCTGAAAGGATTGCAGTCCAGGAGACTTGGAAGGACTGTGTACAGGAACTGGTTGGACAGAAAAGAAAATCGATGTGACTCACTTATCCATTCAGCTCTGGAGACTGTTGACAATTCCTGTGGCTCAATTAGAGGCCGGAAAAGTTAACATTGCGTGGTATATGATACGATTGCTGGGAGAAACTAAAGCATGTAACCTTCCCGGTCAAATTTCAGACCACCCATATATAACTTAACCATGTCGAAGTCTTACACTAAAACATAGCTAATACATGTTTACTTTAGTGCAGGCAGCAGTCCCAGACATAAAGAAAAAATGGGATTTCTAAGATTTTCACCTTTACCTCCAAATGTCTTTCCTGTTCCTCAGAGTGAGGCTGAACAACCGCAGCTTTGTTCGGCCTAATTGTACACAGACATCCCCCTTTCCCTAAGATCTCACTCCTATGCCCACAAAGTATCTGAGGTTAGTGCCCGCCGTAGACCCACATTCCTGAACAGTTGAACATTGCTTTGAATGTGGGCTTTTTGGCATTGTGCTCCAAAGAGGGCTGCTGAGTGAAGAGCACTGAAGGAATCCAGTGCAAGCAGCTCCGTTTACAGTTCCTGCGAGGTTCCCGCGGTGAGGCTGAGCTCAGCATTAACCGGGCTGGGCCGCGCGAAACACAATGGACAGAGCATTTCAATAAACAATCTTGGAAAGACACACTGGCTTGGAAAATGTCGCTCAATGCAGACGAGCCAGAGGGGATTTATATTTTCAGCAGCACTAGTTTCGCCGATTACCACATGCACGCATTAGTTTGAAGGCCAACATAAAAAGACAACTCAAAGCATTGTCTGCTTACGTCTGCATTCGCTGTGACGGACAAATAAACACAGTCTACCCACAAGTCTGCTTGTAGTGTCCTTTTATTCATCAAAGCGTCTCTTCAGCCGAAATACTTGCTCACCAGTGGCGCCTTTTGCGATGCACGCCAATGCAATTTTCCTTGTATTGAGAAAATAACCACAAAATATATCAGAGGAGCAGATTCCAAACACTGTCAAACTTTGTTTTATTTTTAAAAAGCATTTGTTCTTTGCTCTGTTTGTCAAACTCCAACGTTTTTTGTGACTACACTTGAGAGGTATCAAAATTAAAATTTGTGAAACTGATGCAGAAGTAAAATGATACAGTCTGGTATCTGTCAGATATTTAGTTTTTCTTAACATATTTTTGTTTAACAGATATTTACCTCTGTCTTGTATATGTCTCGATAATGTTGCTGTTACTAGCAAATACTGGCAGGCCACGAACTTTACATTTTTAAATATTTAAAGTTCATAAAAGCTAAAATTTGTTTCTTAAATGTATGAAAAAAATGTCAAGTATTTTCAATTCCACTAAAATTGTTCCAACTATTTTTGGTAATATTGTTTTTAAAACTAACTGTTAATAATCTTAATTAATAAGATTTATCGCCAAAATAGAATAATACAGTTATACCAGAAAAAAAATTATTTAGTTGAGTGTTCTCTCCTGCTAGTTCTCTTCTGCTAACCTTTTACCAGCGTTACACTGAGAAGTAGCTTGTGTGATGAGCTCAGCAGATGCACAGTTTGACTAGGTGTCTGCTAATTGCTGCTGGCTAGTCTGAAGGAGCGGAGAGAGGAGTCTCAGGGAGCACTGATCTGTGAGACAGAAGCTTGGACACTGCAGCTCCGAGGAGAAGCTGTGTCTCAAAGGCATCGCTCGGTCTACCCGGGTGTTTTTAACAGCTGAATGGTTGCCATGGGAAATTAAAGGATTTCTCAAACATGCATAAAAGAGTCAAAGCAACACTTCAGGAATGTTTTTGATGACAGAATAAGATCAAAACATGACGTAAAGCTCAAAAAAGTAAATTTAACATGACACTGCCCCTTTAAAAATTTTGAAAACCATGAATCATTAACCTTCCATTAGGTATGTCTTGTAAAAAATCCCAATTAAAATGTATTGATGTTTCTTTGGTTCTAACTCAACAAAGTCAAAAGTTTAATGTAAGTGAATACTTGAAAATCCCTGTAATGGATGTTTTTCTTAAATGTGCATTTTTACTAGCCTTACATTTAGATTATTGATGGCTGAACTGACAAAGGCACATCTGGAAACCATTTGGTTCATCAAGCTGACTTCCTTAGAGAAAACAGTGGTGTGTACAGTATGGATGTAAGAGCAGGTAGTTAGATAACCACAGCCGCTGCTCTCAGCAAATATGTGGTGAGTCAAACCTACAGGACTGCGTTTATCGAAGAATTCCTATAGCTTTCTCTCCGAAGACGCAGCATTCTCACCGTCTTCCCAACAGTATGCAGGAGGCTCGTAACCTGATGCGTCAGGCACAGATCTGAGTTCCAGCTGGCACAACATGTGAGACCTTGACTCGGCTGCTGCTAACATTATGGCAAACCACTAATGCTGTCTTTGATTTGGCTTTGGTCTCATCACCCACGGCTCTTTAAATGCCGAGTCTGGTGCAACCAGGACCGTGGAAGCAGTGTAATTTACGACGGGTCCCAATCGATCAGACTCTGATTTGCCATGGGGGACTGGCAAACGAGCATTTGTAAAGGTCATTGTTTGAACTTAAATAGGCCAGTCTCTTCAATAGTATTTTTTGGACGACGTTTTCACCCACGCCTCCGCAGCTCCACTGGAAACTTGTCTGAAACTTTCCTGGGCACGCTTCCATGGGTGTGGTACTGCTTCAGTGTAAAAGGGCAGAACTGGATACTGTTGGCTTCACATGCTCTTTTCTCTAAAGGCAAGCTGACAGTTTGACTCTAGAAATATTGTCCATGATCAGTCCAAGAAACTGAAATCCCTCCAATCGGGCACACCTTTCACCTAGCTTAGCCTACCAAGCGCTAAGCCTGGGAAAACAGCTAGCCTGGCTGCCTTTTGATAAATGTCTGGCTTTTTACCACCAGTAGGATTGTTTTTATAGCAGATAGCTTCATTTCATCCACTAGGTGAGGGCTGGCCACAGTTTCTAATTTATTAGGCAAATTTATTATTTCCTACAACCACAAAAGCATGTGGTGCTGAGCCTAAACCACAGGTTGTCTCGCAGACGTCCCGTCTTGGTCTGGTAAAACGTTTTTTTGGACAATGAAAGAGAATTTGGTGGAAAACAATATTAATTTCAAAAGCTTTAAAGCCGTGACATACACTTGCAGCCCCAAACACAGCATCCTCTTTGAAAATGGCAGTGTTGGCTTCCAGTTGGTTCAGGTTAGCACCAAAGCTAGCTAACGTCTTCCCAACAGCAGCGCTATCTCATTTTGTTAGTGAGTATTACAGCAGTTTTCTGAACTGTTGCCTTCACGTAATATTTTCTATTAAGGTAAACTGACAGTTTGTGTTTATAAATATTATCCATGACAAGAAACTGAAATCCCACTATGGAGGTTTTCACCTAGCTTAGCCTAGGAGGCGCTAAACCTGGAGAAAATGGCTAACCTGGCTGTCTTTAAGTATTTGGCTTTTTACCACCAGCAGGATTGTTTTTAAAGCAGATAGCTTAGTTTTATCCAGCAGGTGAGGGTTGACCACAGTTTCTGATTTACTAGGCTAATTTATTATTTTCTACAACCACAAAAGCAAGCAGCGCTGAGCCTAAACCGCGAGCTGTCTCGCTGGCATCTCGCCTTGGTTTGGTAAAATGTTTTTTTGGGTCAGTGCCAGAAAGTTTGGTGGGAAACAGCACAAATTGTTTCTTAAATTTTTGGCAGGGTTGCATTCCCATCAGTTCAGATTAGGATTAAGGCTAACTTGTAGTATTTAACATGCTGCCAAAAAAAAAGAAAATCTGTTTTGTGCATAATCTGACCATATAACCTTTCTCCACATGTTTGCTCTAACGCCTACATATGACAAACTGCAAACAGCATGTTTTAAGGCTTTCTGTCAATAAACTCGTCTTCTACCTAAAGTACAGATCTATGGAGTGGGTTTTAAAGTCAATTTACTCTAAACTCTATAGCAGATTACTTCATGTAATTTCCACCCAAGCTTTTCATTTTAGCTTTGCAATTCTTTTTCAGTGAGTCAGCTTAAAGTGAAAGAATATGCTGTGAAATAGTTCATGCAGGATGAATGGCATTCATTCTCCAACATACACAAGCACAAACACACACACACAAAGGCTCTTGGTGTGCTTCCTATCTGCTCTGCCACAATGCACCCAGTGTAGCTTAACAGTACAGTCACCCAGGACATTAAAAAGCTGTAAAAGTGACTCACCAGAACCCTTTATTCTTTACATGTCTGATTATATTAATGTCTCCGTCAACACATTTTTAAACAGGATGGAGCTGCCTGAATCTGCAGTAGCATTGAATTAAGAAGTGACTGTGAAGTCAGCTGTTAGTTACCTTGGTGATGTAGTAGACACACTGCTGAAAGGCCAGCAAGATGACTTCCTCCAGGACGGCCATCGTCTCCTCGCTGGCTGAACGAATGCAGGACAGGCGAAGCTCCAACATCGCTGAAAAAGCACGTTGACGAGAATTTCCATATTTGAGTTTAACATACAAAACATTAGCTAACTGCATCAGCAATGCCACCGACCTAAGTTCTCCACTTCTTTGCTTTCATCGTCTTCCCAGTCTCCGTCCTCCCTCCGCTGCTCCTCCATACGGTTTCTCCACTCCAGAATAAGAGGCAACTGATGTTGAATGAACTGCAGCAGCTCCAGGGCGTTGGCCATCCACACCACCAGGGGGCGCAAACCCGAAATTACATCATGTAGGCTGCGCACTTCGTGGTTTGAACCTTCACTGCAAGACAAAAACAAAACATTCTGAAGTGTCCTTGATGAAATGGCAGGTCGAAGGGATACTGGAAATAAAAAGGTAGGGCTTACTCTTCAGGATAAACAGCAGCTAGCTTCGTAGTGCAATCCTGCATGAGGCAAAGAGGTAAACTGCAGTGAGTGTTTTTATGTCATGGTACGTTTTACTCAGATTTATTTCCTCCGCTGAAAGCATTAACCGATAAAACAACTTTAAAATAGTGAGTCACAAAGTTATTCTCATGCCTTGAGCTTCTAATCCACGAACTAAAAGCAGAAAAGAACGACACAACTGCAAAGTCACTGAGACTGTCCCCAAAACTGAAAGGGTTAACAAGCAGAATGTCAGTCAGAGGAACTGCAGAGATCCACAGCTCGGGTAGAAAAGTACACTGACAGAGCAGGTTTTATTTGTTTCCCCACAAATCTAGAAAAGTGACAAGAAAAATGATTGAGATGATTAAAAAAAGTCAAAATGCCAAAAAAAAAAAAATAGCCAGAATGATTTGGAAAAAAAGGGGAACGGGGGAGAAAAACTAACAAAAGACAAGGAGAAAAGTCAAAATGAGAACAAAAAGTCAAAATAATGAGGAAAACAGTCAAAATGATGAGGAAAAAGTAAATAAATAAATAAAACCAGTGCAACATCTATGCACCAATATGCATTACCTATATTCAGCTGCTCACCCAGATGTGCATCATGACAGCCTCAGGTGACCTGCCCTCGATGGGACACATCCTTAAGGATTTCAGCCAAGAGTAATCCAGCAAGTAGGAACTCAAGAGTTGGCCGAATGATTCACAGTGAGATGATAATTACTGAGAAACAAGCTGCGATGCTGCAACTGCAGTTTTTCTGCTGCGTTTGCAATGATCACATCACCAAGACACAGCATGTTTGATGAAGAAGAGATTGTTTAAAACCAGACGGAGCTTCTTTTTTATTTTCTACAATCTGCCTCTTGGCAAGGATCCTCATAACTTTGTCAAACAAAAATGTAGGGACTGTAGCCATAGTCTGTGTGAAAATGTTGGGGAAAACCAATGCACATAAAAAACAATCAGCTTCACAAAGTTTATATGGCAGTAACAGCCAACCCAAACACGCTCTGAAATTTAACGCGTCTCTTGGTTTCCAACCTCTCTAACCACAAACTCACCCACGTGGCACTCTGGACTTCACTCGCGCTCAGCAGCAGGAGCCTCCGTAGGTCTGAAGTGTGAAGGTAAGCCGTGGCATACTGGAGACACAGGCTCAGCAGAAAGGAGACAGTCAGTGGGGCTCCGTCAGTGATAATGCTGGTGCCGTCCATAGCAAAGATCTCCTTGACAACACGATCTTCGTCCTCAATCCTGTAGCTCAAAGTCAGGATGTGGCCTCTGGGTGATGTTAGAAAGGGAGGGCCTTTGTTGGGAGACCGCTTGCGGGCTGAACCTCGGAAGTCCGTGCAGTTCGGGATGCAGTTGATACAGTGGATCATTGCTGTACTGTGGATGGTTGCCGCCGCGGGAGGGCTGAGACACATTATCCACGGAGCAGCAGACAACGTTGGTTCAGGAGAGGCATTGCTTTCTTCCTGTAGTTGAGGAACAGAAAAGAAATATGACATCTCCTGAGTTGTTGTTCTTTTAGTTCTGCGGCGAACAACCAGATTTATTTGCCCATCTTCGTCAAAGACCGTCTCACCTTGTTCACTGAAGGTAGGGGATCCCTGAAAAGAAACAGGTAATGCTTTCCCAGTCCGATGATGTCACCGGAGCTCAGCTGCACGTTGTCTTTCACGGCTTTGCCGTTCCTGGACACGGCGGCGTCTTTGCAAGGGGAGAGCGTGATGGTACTGCCGACGCCGTGGCGGTGGAGGGAGCAGTGGCTTGGAAGGATGTCGTCAGCAAAGAGGACGACGTCCACACTCGGCTTGTCTTCGCACTCACCGCGTCGGCCGATAAGAATGTGTGGTGCAGCTAGCAAGTAGATGATAAAGTCCTGAGAGGAGAGATTAACGGTCAGTCACAGAAGTTTTTTATCTGTACAGAGCATCTCTGAAGAACCACTTCTGAACACGGCACTGTTCAGAAGTGCCATGTTCAGAAGTGTTTGCTTAGTGATTCCCATAACAGGAACCAAACACCTAATCTTTCACCTCGATTGGACATTTATGGCCTTTCGGGGAGGTAAAGCAAACTAAAACATGTTTGTCACAACTAAAGAGACACGTACGTTTATATACTTAGTATTGACAGAATTTTCTTTTTTTTTTTTGGCTAAAGATAAAATCGGATTCCCAATAAAATTCAAGTCATCCCCTACTGAGAAAGATCTACAAAAGAACCTAGAACAACTTTGGGTTGTGCATTGGGACAATGATCCAAAGGACATCAGCAAGTTCACTTATAAATGGTAGAAAAAAATATTTTGGAGTGATGTAATCACTGTTTGTCTTTATGTCAGATATGATTTAACTGAATTAAAACAATTCATTTGAAAAGAAGAGCATGAAGCAGAAAGTTTGATGTGGAAAATGTGTTTTAACCTTGAATAGTTCTTATAATTCGAACTCCAAACTGCTTTTAACAGAATGTCTCCTTAAATAAAGTGAGCACTGATCATAGTGATTATAATGAGATAATTGTGTCACTCTTTGTGATCCTTTCAGATTAAACCAGCTGAGCTGAAACTGGCAAAGCAGCTGCATAATCGCGTTCCTCAGGAGTAGCTTACTGTACAGGGCCTTCTGGGAAACTGACGCACAATTAAAATCTACTTATTCTAGTTGATACATAAGTGTGTGTGAGTGCATGGGTGTCGGTCTTTGCATGTAGTTTTGTACTTATCCACAGTTAGAGAAGCCCTGGTAACCAGACAGGAAGCAGAGTCAGGATCGTCTCTTTCTGTTTCCTGATCCGTGTTCTGACTCTCAACTCTTTTGCTGACCTTTGGATAGCTGCTGGCTCAGTCACTGTCGCTTCACTCAACCAGCATAATTCTTTTTGTGTGTTTCTCTGATAAATGGATATAAATGCTTCTGTATCTAGCAAGGTTCACAAAAGTTGCTTTCCTGCAGTCAGTAAGCTGAAGTGGCAGACTTCAACTTAAACGTACTGACAAGCAGTAACTGGTTTTGCTTTGCATAAATGACAGCTCCAGTTTTCCTGGCTGGCTTTGTCATTTGACAAAGCCAGCCAGGAAAGCCAGCAAGTCAGTGCAACTTTAGATAGCAGCAGAAATTAGGACTTAAATTTAAGTTGAGCTCTACCTTTTTATATAAATGGTCATATTGTAAGCACTTTGCTGCCATCTAGTGGTCAGATAGCGAACTACATCTTTTTGTAATTTTGCAATACTAAGCTATATTTGAATTATTGTAATTAATGGATTTTACAGACTCTTTTAAAGTCCTTTTTTTCATTATTTCAATTTTTTTAAAAAAAAACTAAGACCCAAAAAGTTAAACTACTATCATGCACACTTATTTCACAACAATGTCACTAGTTTGAATTCATACTCATTGAATGTGTTATATTCTGATTAATAATTCCTACCAAATTTGGTGTTTGCATGACAAAAATATATTTTACATATATTTATGTATTTTCTTCTTTAAATAACTTCAGGAAGTAAGAGGTTTAGTGGCACAAGACTCAAGATTTGAAGTCTGAATCTTAATCCATGGGACAATCTTCACCTCATGTAACCTGAGGGGAAACAACCTGCAAAGCCTTAGCAGTTTGTTTATTTTTGAGCAGATAAAATAAAATAAAATTTAAAAAACTAAATAAAATAAAAAAATTATTCAAAGATTTGTTGTGGCCTCCAGGTGCTTTAGTAATTTTGTCCCTCGTTAATAAAAGTTTGGACTCCACTGTGCTAAGTAATCAACACCTCTGATTAGCAAACACAAAAGTATTCACTTTTTAAGCTAGAGACCAGCAAAATCTGTAAACTTCAATGGTCTTCATTTAGTAGAAATCCAAATTCTCTTGGAAAAAAACTCAAAAAATTAAAAAAACTATGTTTTTTTTTAATGGTTTAAAGGTTTATTCATGAACCTTTAAACCACAACCATGTTTGCATGCTCCATGCTGTAAGATATTCTTTTGTTTACACAAGTAAACACACTCACATCCGTTTCACTGTCGCCAGTCTGGTGGCACAAAGACAACGCAACAGAAATTAAGCTTTACAGCAAAAAAAATGCCAGTGTTAAAACACCCACATCCCCCATGGGTGTGACGTAGGGTTATAATAGGTTTTTAATTACAGTTGAGTTTTATTTTGTTGTTACTCTTGTTTGACTAATTCAGTCAGTTTCAATGAGCTTTTCGAGTGTTAAGTAGCTCGAAACTTCTTCTAGTTGCAGTTTGTTTTTTTCGTAACTTCTGGGTGCAAAATTCAAACAGGGTCAAAGTAATGTGTTGTGATTATGTAAGCATAGATTGACTAATGAAGATTCAACCAAAGATGCCATTTTCAGAAAATGTATTTCATTTTAGTTGAACAACCAAACCGACTCTGGTGTTTTCTCCCAACTTTTGCTGTCGTCATTTTACAGACTAGCATAAACGTATGCATGTAAATAGTACGGAGCACCATAATTTGCCCACAGCTGACGTAAACTGCTTGTGTAGGGGGAAAAATATCAATTTCCCATCTTTCTGAAAGGCTAATAAATAGATTCATAAACACAAAAACAACGGATATTACATCTATAATTTTAGTACATTTTACTTTTATAAACACATGATATACTTCCAGTTAGTTATAGTTTTTCTCTATTAATTACCGTTTGCATTTATTTCAGTTAATAACAATGTTTTCCTCAATATTTCCGTTAGTTTCAGGTAACTGTAATAGCCGTGGTTTGACGGGCACACGCCTTCACCACCCCCCTCACCCCCACCGTGTTGCTGAGCTGTGATTGGCCACGTACCTGCGTGAGGCTCCAGCCCTGCAGCAGCAGCAGGTACGGACAGTCGTGTGGAGGGTGAATGGAGTACTGTGTGGTGTTATCGTCGCTGCTCTCCGTCTCCTCCCTCTCCGACTCCTCTCCCTCACGCTCGCCCCTCGGCCTCGGCGGACTGAGGTTCTCTGTCTTAGACGCCGTCCCGCCATCCCTCTCGAAGGGCGCCTCCGTGCTGCAAATGTCAATCAGTCGGGGGCCATTTTCCAGGGACTCCCGGCTGTGGACTGAAGAGTGGCCGAGGCTCTCGCGAAGACTCTTGGCTCGCGCGTCGCGTTTCCCGTCGCTTTTGTCCCCGCCGTCCAACAGATCCATCTCACTTTTGCTCCTCCAGAGCTTCTGACTGCGACCCAGAGTCCTCTCCACAAGAGAGGAGGTGACCCTGGATCGGCTCTTCTGCAGCTTCCGGGCCTGGGCATTGATACCTGATGTGGGCGGAAGTAAATAACTCTGAACCTGAACCTTTAGAGCCACATAAAGACAGTTACAAAGTCAGCCTTCTATCATTTTAAGGAGAACATTTTAAGGATTAAAGTTCTAATGCTCAAGGAAGATATAGAGAAACTCATCCATGCGTTTATATTTAGTCAAATTGATTATTGCAGTAGTGTCTTTACGGGTCTCCCTAAAAATATCAGACAGCTGCAGCTGATTCAGAATGATGGTGCTCCTGGAGGGAAGATAGAGAACATCACACCAGTCCTGAACTTCCTACACTGGCTCCTTGTAGCTCAAAGAATAGACTTTAAAATGCTGTTGCTAGTTTATAAATCACTGAACAGCTTAGCAACACAATACATTAAAGATCTGCTGTTGTTGTATCAAAAACTTGGAACAAACTTCCAGAAAACTGCAAAACAGCTGAAACACGGAATTCCTTTAAATCAAAACTAAAAACCCACTTGTCTAGGGTTGATTTGAAACATGATTAATGGAATATTGACCAACATATTTGAATTTTACTGATGATTTTGACAAATGACACTCAAAGAAATTTACCGTTTTCTCAATCAGTGACTGATTTTTTTGTTGTGCGTGTTTTTATGAAGTAAAGCGCCTCAAACTGCCTTTTTGCTGTAATGTGCTGTACAAATAAACTTGATTGATTGAAAACGATAAGTGAATTGGACCGCATCATGAGGTGAAAGGTCGATGGAATGCGATGACAGAGCAACGCCCATATTTTCCTGCGGCAAGGTGAGGGGGTGTTGCTGCCAGAGTCAACAAGAAGAAGCCCCACTCAGGAAGCAGACCTCAGTGGAAACAGAGGCAGCGCTCATGGAAATTAAAGGGAAAAAAAAAAGCTCAGCTCCACAGCAGGGAACCACAACCCTTAACCCCAACCAATCCACACGCGGACACTGACGGAGCGCCGTACCACATGCGTGCGCCGTTCATAAAAGCAAAACACAAAACCGGACACACACTTTGATGTGAACACAGCTGTGTAAACCCAGGAGCCTCCGTTAGAAATGACTGACACAAAAACATCAGCAAATCAACCCAGCACCTTGACGGTACCATCTGTGGAAACTTCCGGGTGTTTTTCAGTCGTGCCACATGATCCGTACTTATCTGTGGAGACAATGTTTCTGCAATGTTTTTATTTCTTTTATGTTGCTTTTTTTATTTCTAACAATAAAGCATTACACAGAGAGGGTGTGACGCTGGTGGGAAAACAAAAAAACGGCCATTAAATTGCCATGCATCTGCAAAACCCATTAGGATGTTACTAAAAATTTATTGTCATGAAAGAATCAAATCCAGCCATGAGTCTGAAATTCAAAAGCCATGAGTCTGAAATTCACAAGACTGCCAGGCTTTGGCCGGTTTTCTCAGGAAAACCCAAACGCTTCACTGTGAGAACCGGCTTCGAAGCCGGCGGAGCTTCGTTCGTGTTGCCTGGTGGAGTCAGGATGTGGCAAAGCAATCGGCCCAAAAGGGCCTGCAGTTTTTACCGGCAGTGACGGTGTCCCTCTCCTTCGACGTCTTCTCCTCTATCGAACTTTTCCGCTGGATTTCGAAACGTCGCGCCAAGCCCTCTCTGGGTTTCCATAGCGACTGCAGGAGGAGAGGTTTCTCGTGGTCGCCCACCACCCTGAAGCCCTCCGTCCTCCACTGGTGGCTGTCGATGGAGCCGATGGTGTCGCAGAGGACGTAGGAATCGGACTCCTCCTTCCTCAGGCCGTACCTGCATCAGACGGACGCGTTCAAAATGGCTACACTCCTCCTCACAAGACGCGGGAATGAAAAATATCTTCACAGGATTTAAACAGATTTTCCCCCATTTTGTCACGCTTGAATATTTCAGGTCATCAAATGAATCTCATGATCAGACAGAGAGCCTGAATAAATCTGAAGCTTAATTATTTCATTTGTTACTTTCATAATAATTTTTTGGATATTCTGATAAAAGAAATGAGTCAGAAAATATTGTCACTCATTTTCTTTTCCTATCACACCTTTTCCTTCCACTCAACTTTCCATGAATAGACAAATAAATTGTGTTTTCTCTTTTACAACATTCAAAATGTTCTCTAGGCAGCTTCTCAAGGCAGTACTTACTTGTTTTTGGTCCACCTTTTACCACCACACTTTGTCCTTCCACTCAACGTTTTTTTTTCTTTTTTACAATATTCTAACTTTCCTAGACACTGAATTTGGGTTTTTCATTATCTGCAAGACATATTGATCAAAATTATAATACAGGTTGGAAATATCTTACTGTATGTGTAATACATATACGTAATATGTGAGTTTTACTTGAAATCAATGATAAAAATCCGATATAATATCTGTATCGGCCCCGATATTGAAAATATTTTAGATCGAGTATCGGTGACAATGTGCCTGATCCATCAGGGCAGATCTATTCAATCTAATTCTATCCTTTGTGCTCCAAACCACGCCATGCTTTATTTATTTTACATTACATTTCAAATTCCTAATTGCACTTTTTGAACCTTTTGAAAGAAAGTGAACTGCAGTTTGTTTTTTACAGGCTCGACCGATTCAATCAACATTTTTTCAGTTTCTGTCTTATTTATTTGGCTGCTCTACTTCTAATTCCTGAACAAATTAAAGTTGTTTTGTTTTTACACGTTTCACCAAGCTAGTGAAGTTACTAGTGTATTTAAGTGTGCTGTACTAGTGCAAAGTTATCAAATAAATTTGTAATTCAGTTCATTTATATACGTGTCTTTAAGGAAAACAGACATAAATAGACTCTTAAGTAAATTCTTCAGTAAATTCAGCACTGTGTTTCTGCATTGGATCAGTTTTAGCCGACACTAAACCTCAGAAATCAATCTGTTCTGGTTGAGACGAGGAAAATTATCAAAACTAATATTGATCTCAATCCAGTGTCTCTTCTCCTTGGTCTACCAAGTAAACACATTCAAAATCAAAGTTGTGTAACGTCCTAATCTTCTGTGCTCGAAAGAATATTTTGTTGCAGTGGATTTCTGATAAGTTTCCTACTATTTCTGGGTGGAAGAAGTTTATTTTGGAATATATCCCTGTTGACTTTCTGACATGCCTCGTCCTCTCTAAGACTGACAGCTTTGGACGCACTGGAGCATTTATAAATTCTTAGAGTTGGACTATAAAATGATGAAAATATGTACACCTCCTATCTTTTCTTTTTCTTTTTCTGTCCTCTGGGCTGCACTGCTGAGCTTTTGTTTTGTGTTGTATTGTTGTTCTTAAGCAAAACAATTAATAAACATGTCTATAAAAAAACCAAAAAAAACCTCAGATATCAGTATCGGATGTGAAAAAAGTGAATCGGTGCGCCTCTAACTGAAACTTCTTGTGTACATAAAACAGTCTTCCTGCATTCCTGGACGTCCCGTAATGACTTTTTGTATCTGGACATTTCAGATGGATAGAAAGTGACCAAACCTACATTAGAAAACAAAAAACAAACAAAAAAAAGAAACTGGAGCTTCACAGGAACAGCACTTTACTTCTTGTCCACTCTTGTAAACTACTTTATTACTGAATACCAGTGTTATCACCAGCATCAGAAAAGTACAAATCAGGGTATTTTTTAAATGATTGTGTTTTTAGTGTTTCATCTCCTGATACCTGGTGTTGGTCTGTGATTTTATCAGTTGCGCCTCGTTGCTTTTTTTTATGACCACTGCATATTTTTGTGCACCGCTTGCAAATCTGTATTTATCCTAATAATAAAAGCTTTTTTTTAAAGTTTTTATACCAACATTTCCAGTGAAACAGAGACTGCTGAACTTTCCTATCACTCCACCGAGGGAAAAGGAGAGCAGCCAAAACATGAGCTCCTAAATTACACAGATCAAATCGCAATTTTTATCAACTTTTTCTATATTTTTTTTGCCCTCATACACAAATAATAACCGGAACCACACTGACACACTGTATAAGAAGTATTATCGATCAGTCGTATCAAAACAGAGATAAAACATGCTCGCGTTAGCGTAGCATTTAAAAAAAGGTAGTTGATTTTAAGCTAAACTTCACTTGCTTTGTGTTAGCTAAGTCCTAAATGTTCCTGCCACCAGTCTTTCTCTTTGCTTTGGTACGGGGTCATTTGTCCGTCTCGCCTTTAGAGACTGAAGCCGGCCGCCATTAATCATCCTGCTGTGCGTCTGAATGAAACCTAAGAATGACAGACAGAGGCGGCCTCAGAGTCTGGGCCATCGCTGGCTGTGTTTCACACAAGTCTGTGGTTTGGACTGGGCCGATCAGAACTCCACTTCTTTGTACACACACACATAGCCTGCTGTGTGCTTCGATTATTATAAACAGAAGCATCTGGTTAGGCGGACCTTAGCTTTAATTCACTAGAACAAGCTGACCTTTAAGCAGCCTTAAAATTATGAGGCTCTGCTTTTTCTTTTGTGCTTAAGCTAAATTTAAGCTCCATCTTATATAAATCAGTGTAAGTTTTTTTTTTGTTTTTTTTTTTGCCAAGTTTACTCATATTAATTTTGTGCATGGATGCAATTTTAATGATGCATTTGACCTGGTATTTTTCCAGGTTGAAGCATACGAACTCAATTAATGGGAAAAAAAAAAGAAAAAAAAAGAGGAAGAATTAGAAGCAAAAGCCTGAATTTACTCTGGATTTTTCTCTGCTCTACAAAGGCTAAAATACAAAGCCTTTGGGGGGGGGGGCACCCAAAGGCTTGGTCTCCAGTGATTGGCAAACACCTGCCCATCAGCAGGGCTTATCATACGACCTACTGCTCAGTCACACGCTCCGTAAAAAAATGTTTGTAAACAGCATCCTTGTAACAACTTCCTGAAGGCGGAGTTTAAGAAAGAGCAGGAGCTTCTTAAAGAGACAGCGACCCAATTTCAAGGCGTCAAGTCAAATTTCTTTTAAGTTATGTTTGATATATGCAACATTTTTATAACAACTAAAGGTAAAATAGTTGATTGATAATGATATAAAATGGCACCATGTGCCTCGAAAATGCATGACGCTGTCACATTAAATAAACTCCCATCTCCAATGAAAGGAGAACTAAAGGTTTAAAGATCAAAACGAACGCCCATGTAAATTTCTAAACAGTTCTGTCGAGTAAATTCAAAACTTATCTGAATATGCTGAATAAAAGAAAAACATCCCTGATATCACATCATGTTTTCCCAACCAAAGGTTATTATTATTACCTGAAACAAGTGAAAATAACAAAAACTGAAATTGAGAAGACATTTTTGTTAACTGAAATAAAAACAAATGATAATTAATGGGGAAAAACTATAACTAACTGTCAGCTGTCTGATTTAGTTGGTTGTTCAACAATAATTGAATAAATTTTTTTAAATGGCATCTTCTGCTGAGTATTTATTACCTAATCAATGTACGCATAATCACGATACATTACTTTGACCTGTTTGAATTCTGAACCTAGAAATGATCAAAATATGAAAAAACTAAAACTTCTTCTACAACAACTAAAAACCAAACAGTATTTAACTAATAAAAAATAGCAAACACACTGTAAAAACAAATTAAAACAAAATGAATTAGAGAAACAAAAAGTCACAATGAAAAAAAAAACTAAACTTTTACAGCCCTATTCAACCAGATCAGCCCAGAAGCAGGTGAAGTTTAGACCAACAGAATGGCTTACTGCTGAGCGCAGATCATATGATTGTGGAGGAATTCCTGCTCTCACTTTTATGTTCTTACAACGGTTTATTTTTCTGAGTGCATATGGGCTTCACGTGGAGGGGGATCGTAACTCACCCCGAGCAGAAACACAAGACCACCCTCCCGCACATGGCGGCGCATGTTCTCACCTATCCAGGGCCTCCTTGACGAGCTCCCCGGCGCTGGAGTGCGTGGTGGCCAGGACGCTCTTGTAGTGAGCCCCTTCACAGATCTCGTTCCCGAAGATCTTCAGGATCCCTGGGGCCGTGATCTGATTGGACAGCTCGGATGGGTCGTCCTCTGGCAGGACTTCCGCGGAGAACACTGCGGATGCGAGACCACACGGGGAAAAGGACATTCATCACTGGGTCTGAGATGTGGTTTAAAGGAACAAAAAGACTGGTTGGTTTTTTATAAGCGTTGAGGTCACGTTTGCTTGTATGCAGTGGATATGCAACAAAACCAGAGGAGATGATGTAAGACATGTAAAGTATTCCAGTTTTACAAAGTTTAGATGGATGGTTTTGTTTGGGTAAAGTAGAAGATTGAGATGTTCTGAACTCGTTCCCTTTTCACTTTTTTTTTGGGATGTTACCAAAACGATTGTGTTTAATCCCTGTGTATCAGTTTCTACCATTGCGAAATAGTTCAAACTCAGTCAGACTGAGTACGAGTGGTTTTGAACATCAATTTTTAAGTCTTTCCCAGATTCTTCATTGGATTTAGGTCCGGGTTTTGACTGGGCCATTCTAACACAAGAATATGATATTAAGGGTGGGCATTTATCACATCGTTTATCATTTATCGTGATACATTCCTTATCACGATAAGAAATGTGATCTATTGTTGTCGCATTAAATTCAAATTAAAGATGTTTAAACTTTTTCGTTATTTTTCCCTGGTGTTTAATTTATTAAAGTTGGCTAAATATAGCAAGTGTTTTGAAAGAAAGCGTCCCAAATCCTCTTCTAACACTGACAATAAAATTATACTATTGAGCCCAACAGAACTGGAAAACTTTTGTCGAATAAAATATAACAAACATCATATTCCTCTTTAAGTTTTGTATCTACAATGAATAACATCGATCTTCTACAAACAAAAGACAAAAAATCTGACATTTTTGCGATTATTATCATTATTATTATTATTTAGCTCGCGACTACTGTTGGGGTTTTTAAAATTAGCTCAAGACCTGTAAAGAACCAGACACAAGACCAATCCTTTGCAAAGGGAGAGATCCACAACCTCTAACCCGCTCGGGATCAAAGGTTGGTGAGCTCTGCTCAACTCTGCTTGGGAATTGGCTTTTATTATGATGACCTTCTTCAGTAGAACAATGCTGAGATAACAGAACAGATGGACCCCTTGAGTAGGAAATTACATCATAGATAAAGAAAGAATCTTATAGAATAACTGGTCAGAGCCAGTTAGGTAACTGAGCACATTTAGATAAAACACTCAAATAAAATGATAAAACAATGATTAGTTTTACCCAACAACTACTTTTGATTCGACGATTTTGGCTCACGAGACAAAACGTTTAGGCAGCTCGTAAATTTAAGGGAAATGGGATAAAGGTGGCTAAATACACGAGCACTCTATATATTCCTCTTTTTGTTTATCTAAAATTAAAGCCTGTTGCTGTTATGAATAAGAACAAGTTCAAAACCTATTAATACATCACGAATATCTTCTACAGTGGAAATATCGGCATCAGAATCTCAAGTAGAAAACAAAATCAAAGTGACCTACTGCTGCTCTTCCTGACTTGGACGGACCGTGACGACAGGAGTCCCGCCGTTAGCGCCATGGAGCCCGATGTAGGCACCGGGTTGCGGTGGAAGACGCCGGAGAGTCGGTTGGTTTGGCGACTGATGCGACTCTTGTTCGGCTGCCTGATGGCCACGCCCTCTGCCGACCTACAGGTGGAGGAACTGCCGGTGGATACTCCCGACCTGGAGGAAGGAGCGGCAAAGAGAGGGAACTGATAGAAGACGGAGGAGGGGCAAGAGTTCAACTTGAACAACTTCAACAACAACAACAAAACAAAAGAGAAGAACTTTGATAAAATGTCTCGTACGTTTCTCTACCCAGACCTGGTCTCCTTCAGCATGTCTGCCCTCAGCTCTCTATGCACAGCTGAAACAATGAAGTGTTGTTCGGACCTTACCAAGACTCTAAGCTTCTTATAGTTCAAAGGTTCTCTGCAGTTTCCCCACAGTCTCCCCAGACTGGGATTTCACAGCTTCTAATTCTGATTCTCCCAATGGAAAGCCTCTGCTTAGAGACTTTAGTCAGTGATGGCTTGTGAGTATAAGGTTTTAGCTAGCATGTAAAGACTAGGATAGCTATGGGCTAATAAAATATCTACTTTTTTTTCATTCTTAGATAGTGAGACTTTAGCTATTTCTGCGTATTTTGAGCTCCTTTCACAATGAGATGTTTTAGTGCCTCTTGTCATTTTAAATCCAGATAAGCTGCTGCTGGCCACGCCTCCCCCCCCCCCC